GGTGCTGGTACCAAAGGAACTTACGTGTGCACGAAATGTGGCAACTACAAGCGGGTGAACACCATCAACATGTCGCCGAGGGAGCGGAGACCTGTAATGTCCACTGTCAAGCAGACCCAGGGAGTCGGACTTGGAAGTAGGAGGGCCAATCACCTCCAACAGAATAATCGTGAACGGGCTCGGCGAAAAGCTCAATAAAGTCGTGCGCAGCCCCACTGTCACTGCGACACTGCGAATTGAAGACGGCGAAAGCAGATGTCGCTCGCACCCAGTATGCAGAAGCGAAGGCAGCCTGCAACAAGCGCTACAGGACGAAGTGCAGTAATGAAATCGAAGAGCGGGCCAGAGAATACTGGAACAGCAAGCGCGAAGCGGAACCAGAATGGCATGAGACGGTGGAAATGTCTTGGAAACAACGATGGCTACGGATCCATGAGGCCAAGCGAGATGCTGGACCGGTTTCACTGTCCCTGGAGAAGCGTTGTGCTATAGCCGGGCGACCGACGGCAGCCCTTGTACATAAAAAATCAGGTCGTCCGTCGATGCCCTTGCAGAGATGCGGAAACGGTCAGGACTTGCACGTGATCCACAATGGGGGAGTCGTGAGGTGCTGGACTGGAACGCCTGGTGTTCGACCGCCACTACTGGCCATCGCCCGGACGTCCATTCCCTGTGTTTTTGTCGGTTTCGTGCGTGTTTTTTTCGCCAAGTGATCAAGGATGCTCCTCGACGGTCCTCGCCGAAGGAAAAATGCACACGTCCGAGCGATGCCAGGCACTATTGAACATAAGGGCTCGAATCGTCTATCAATGTCTTTGCCCGGGTGCGGAAAAGGGTCAGGACCAAGCGCTTCACAGAAATGGACTCGTGCGTTGCGGGTCTTGACCTGTACGGATGATAGGACCAATTACCTGTCTAATGATCACAGAGGAGGAATGCCTGTATAACATGCCACTCCACGTGCTGATACAATTTCTGCGAACAAATCGAACACGGCAAATCAACGACCCGTTGCACGGTGCAGGGCACAATGAACGTGAGCGCCCCCCAAGCCTCAGTGGTCCCATGCCGCACCGCGTCCGTCAACCTGCCGTCCCTCACCAGATCGAGGGCCGACGCGATCTGCAAGCATAGCGAGGTTAAGAGTGCCGATTTGAGGACCTGGCAAGACACCAAAAACTGGGAACTGAAACCTAAACGGCTGGCATCGCTGCCCAACGCGTACGGGTGGGGAGTGGCCTGCTCCCCGCCACCACCAACGCGTCTTCTGGGTCCCAAAACTACTGCGATTCTCTAGCTCCGAAGCGCTGGTAACGTTAACGTGCACCGTGAGAGTAGCCTCGATCGTCGCGCGGTGGCTGTCAAGGCCACCAACGCGTCGGTTGCGAGCGCCTACGGACCCGTAGGTGGTGATGCCGCCTGGATTGGCAAGCCCCCCGACTCGGCCCCAAGGCCTTGGCGAGTACGCCGTCATCGTCGGGAACCTCAGCTGGCTCCCAAGGTACGCTAATCTACTAGGACCTGGATGGCCTCGCCCGGTCAACGTCCGCCCGACTGCTGTACAAGGGACCTCCCTCACAAGGTGTCTGAGATGAGATGCCGAGGGAAGCGCTCCCCCAAAGCACGTCAGCACGCAATTCCTGGAGAACATACCGCATCATGGATTATGTCTATTTGAGGTTGAGGGATGTCAGGTCCAGAAGCGAGAGTTCACGCGCCTCAGGACAACCACCCTGTACGAGGAGGCCTCGATAGCCTTCGTGAACGAGCACGAGCAGAAGGAACTCCTTAACATGTGAACAACCTTATTTTCGTAGCTCGTCGATCGGATGCACTATCGACTAAATGGAAAGCGTGGCATGCGATAACTTAGCAAGCACTCAAGAAACTCAAGGGAAGAAACGGGTACGTATCGCTCGGGTCGTTGAACCAGAAAGAGGAGAGGATCATACCCCATGTCCAAAACATGCGCCCAATCCCCTACCTACTGCCTCTCTTATTCGGTGGCCCTCCGTCGACTTAGTCGTCTGCATAGAGCGTTCGAGGAGCAGCTAACTGCGCTCAGATCCGCATTCGAGGACGAGGTGATTCAACCGGGGATGGATGGTCCAGCTTTGGCCAAGCCCTGGACAGCTTGAGCCGAGCCATCTTCATCGAGCAACGCAAGGTTGTCGATAAGAAGCGTAAGCGTTGGGGTGCTAGGTTCAAGTGTGGAGTACAAATATCTTGAGTCTGGCCACGCCGGTATTCAAAGCGGGGTCCCCGAGCTCAGGGTGTGACGGTGAAGGAATGCATGCTGAGTGGGAGCCCGTGTGGAGCCCGTGCGAGTACGAGAGCGAAGCCAAAGTGTTAGACTGGAAAAAAGGTATCAGCAGCAACAGCAGCGAAGCCGATCCCAACGAGCAGCAAACTAAAAGACTGGTTCCCCTCCAAAGCTGGGCTTATTGCTGCCATGAAGAATTTCAAAGGTGCAGCAGGCATGGATGGTTGGAGTGCAGTCGAAGTCCGCCTGCTCTTGAAAGTAGCCCCCTTCATCATCGATGAGCTGTGCGATCTCTTGACATGACAGAGCATCTTGCGTGGTCAGCGTGAAAGGGAGCTGGATAAGGAGTTGTTGGAACACATCTCCGTATGTAGGGTGGTGGGAATTCCCTCAAAAGATGAATACATATGAAAGCAGACCGATCTCAGCGGCATCCGATCTTGCTCGGTGTTGGCTTTCGGCGATGGCAGCTGCGCTCCCCACTGCGGCGGCAAATCAATGTGCATGCAAATCTGGCGTGAGTGTGGTTCATGCTGTGTCTTCGTGGCTATCTGTGCGGGCCCGCAAGGGCCTAGAGATGGACCTTTCTAGAGCACACGATAACGTGGATCGTTATGTAGCTGCCACAGCTCTTGAAGCCGAACGTGTACCTCCTGCCCTCATCAGCATACGTCTGTGTGCGTGGAAATGGCCGACGACATGTTGTGTTCAAAATGAATTGTCTCCTTCTCGCAGGGCAAAACGGGGTCTATCATAAGGTGATTCGTGCGCCACTGGAGCTATGATAGCAACACTTGTATTGTGGAGCGCAGACCCTGCAGCGGGGTGGGCATGTATGCATGACCGCTTGCTGACTGCAGGGGGTGATCGAGCAGATGCTGACCTAGAAAGAAGATCAAGACCCAGGCCTTCGACCTGGATGTAGGTTTCGTCGAGTGCTGCGAAACGCCAGTTTTGGGAGGAGGGGGTGAAACACATAGAGCACTTCGGGCTTCACTGTGACCCGGCGAACCCTGCCAAGCCTGTCCGCCCTCGTGGCGGCTGCAAAAACCTCGAGGCCGCGATCGGGACCCTCAAAATCGGGGATGGACAGACCTCCCTTTAGTAAAACGTGGTTTAGTGAAAACGACCCGAGGCCCAAAACCTGGCGGGCGCAGGCCTGGAAAATCACGGGCGCGGCGCCCTCTCGAGAACCGAAAACGGACAATTCACTAGTCGACGTGTCACTGTTGGGGGTTCTGTCCGCCCCCGACAAAAGCTTTCCCGGGGCTGCTGCGGTTCGGGACCCCCGTGCCCCGTCCTGCGTCGGGCCCCTCTGGCCATGTATGGCCAGCGCCGCCGCCTGTGGAGCCCGTGCCTCGCTGGGCTCCAGGTGCGCTCTTTCAAGCGGCCCTCAAGACAGAAGCAAGTGGTGGTGTGCTACAGTCGGGGCGTTGACCTAAGGAACCCTCAATAAGGAACGAGGCCCCTTTTTTCCAGAAGGTAAACTGCGATTTCCGATCGAAAACATAAGGACAACCTAAGGCAAGCTGTGAAACACTTAAGGAACGCGGAGCCCCTCTTCAACCAAAAGGGTTCCTTCTTCAGCGCCCCGACCGCAGGAGATGGTGGGCCCAACACGTGCAATTTCACCCGATGTTTTTGTTCCCGCGTCTGCAGAGTATGAAGACGGTGATGTCCGAAAACTTGGTTCCGAGTGAATTCCTGAGCAAGGCCCTCCGGGCCCATCTCGAGAAGTTAGGCCTCGAGTGTCTAGACCATACCGCTGAGTGGGGCATCTATGTTGGAAATCCTGATGATGGAGAACCTAGAGTGCAGAAAACTACTGAGAGAGTTCGGGGACAAAGCAATTCGCTCTGGGCCGATGCTTCTGGTGGAATCCATGCCATGCATGCTGTCGCCCGAATTCATTACCTCCAAACCGTGCATCGTAGTCGTCTTGACTCAGAGGGGATTGGTGCTGTGGATGTTGAGTCGAGTAGTTCTGCTTCGAGAAGACGCTTTCGACAGATGCGAAGCTTATGCTGTCTATTTTCCAATGAGGCGCCCGCCAAACCCACACACGCTTGAGAAACAGCAAGTGCTGGAAGTGGTGCAGCCGTACTCTCCCAACTGCTCGTCGTTTGTTCCAAGAGTGCCCACGCTTCGCGGAGACGGGGGAGGAAGAGGAGGACTGCGGCCGAGCTGAGTTTCAACATGTCCTTCTGGGCCAACGCGCCCAGTAAGGACGCACGACAGGGATGCGAGGGCCTTGGAAGGCCATGCCGACACCTTGTGGTCGGGGCGCGGCCAGCGAAAGCGGCCGAGGATGGGCCGAAGGGGAAGGATGCAAGGGTAATCTTTGAACGACGCTCATCCTTACCGTGTGGGTTGACAGTGGCAGGAGTGGGCGGGTTGTCTACGCCGACTCGCCCAGCTGTCGTGCTCGCTCGCGTATGGCTTGTCGGAGCCTGCCGCCTTGGGCTCAGCGTCGCGCGCGACAACTTCATGCCTGCAGCGAGAGAATGTACGGTAGGTTCGTGCGGCGTCGGCGCGCGCAAACGCTTTTGTCACCGCGTCGATCGTTCAACCTCGAATCGATCGCGGCCCCGATTGCTCAAGGTTGAATTCAGTCGGGCCCAATGACGTCGCAAGTACCCATCGGTGCTCCCGCGTCGCAGGATTCAACCTGGAACGCCTTCGCCGGCGTCGCCGGCGCGCCGTCGCCGCAGGAGCCTGCCGCATCCGGCCAGCCTTTTTACTTGAGCTTCTGCTCCAGTGGTCGGGTGTTTCTCACCCTGCCTTTGCTTGGAACGCCCCGTACGCATCCACGGGGTACCAGTGGGCACTGCCCCAAGTGAGACCCTTGCACAGCCGAGACGACGACAGCTCTCCCGCCTGGCCCAAATCAGCTCAGAATCGGTCCCCGGAACCCTTCCGGGGTCCATCCCGACCCGTTTTTCAAGGCGGATCCAGCCGTGGCGACGAGAAGCCTCCAGAAGGCCTAGAAAGGACGAGAGACGCCGAAGAGGGCAGTTGTCTCGACGGGCCCTCCGACTGGCGGGCGGGCGGTGCATCCTCGAACCCTCTTTTGCCCGCCGCCGCCTTTGTCGAACGCTTCCGCGCGCCGGGCCTGGGCCCGGGCCCTCACACCATCCTGAGCTGGTAGTCCCCGTTCTGCGTAATGTACCTGCGGGGGAGCGTTAAGAGGGGGACCAGCTCGGGGGGGGAACATCGACCTGGCATCGGCGACACATCGCTGACAGATCGGCGATAGGCCCCCGACAGCAGGGGGGGCCATCGGGCCTCCATCGGCGATGAATGGGCGATTGGGCGTCGATGCGTCCCCCTCAGCCCATCCCCGCCTGCGTTCCCCCTTGGCTTTCGGGTTCTGACTCTCGGCTCTCCAGCGGCCGTTCGGGATACGATCCGGGCAGGCACCCCTGGAAGGCTGTCGACGAGGCGCAGCCGCTGGAAGGGACCCCGAGGCTGAAAGTCTGCTGAGGGCCAACGAAGCCGCCCGAAGACCTCAAACCTCAAACCTCCTCCTCAGTCTCGCCGGGCGACGGGGGGTCGATGCGCCACCCCCTCAGACCACACGTCGTGCGTTTCTAATCGTGCTCACTTCTAATCGTGATCGTTTCTAATTGTTCCTGGCCCCCTAGTGGCCAGGAAGAGGCCCAGGATAGAAGAATTAGAAATGAAAGGATCTTGGCCCCCAAAAAATCAAAGAACCCTCGAATACTTAGAAATGAACAACGTGTATCCCGCTTTAGCGCTGCCCCCGAGCACCGCACCCACGGCAGCGCCTGACGGCTCCGCGGCCGGTCGGCCGCTTCTCGGAGGCCGAGAGGGGGGCCCCAGCGACAGCCGAGCAGACCCTCTGGCGGTAGGCAGATCGGGCGGGCCGATGTCAATGCACGAGCGGCGAACGTACCCTGCATGGTACAATCATCGCCCCCCTCCCCTTGGATCCGCGGTGTGTGTGTGTGTGTGTGTGGTTGGGCACGTGCTGTCGGAACGGGTGGAACGGGGTTGGAGGAAGAGGAGGAGGGGGTGGAGGATGAGGGGGGGGGATGGGCAAGCTCAGTCGAAAGGTCGATCACCACCCCCTTGACAAATGCCCCATCCAGCGTATCCATATCCACGACCTCGCGGTCTGGACTCCGGGAGCGCAATCCCGTGGACACGCGAACGCATAGATACGGTCCGCCCAGGGCATCCCGTGGACGCGCGAACACGTAGGTACGGTCCGCCACGGGGTCGCGGCCCAGGGGCCCAGCTTCGCGGATGCGGATGTGTCCCGTCCGCGAGGGGGGGGGCGGGGCGGGGGGGCAGCCAGCGGCGGGCGAGCGAGGGCTGCAGGACAGCGGCCACCGAAGGGCCACCCAGGTCTGGACGTTCCCGTCGTTTTTGTGTTGTGAATCAGGAAGAGGAGGAGGAGGAGGAGGAGGAGGAGGAGGAGGAGGAGGAGGAGGAGGAGGAGGAGGAGGAGGAGGAGGAGTAGGAGGAGGAGGAGGAGGAGGAGGAGGAGGAGGAGAAGCAGCAGCATAATAAAGTAATAGATCGCCCCCGAGACGGCCGGGGAGGCGCCCGAGAGGTGCGCCTCCCTTCTCGCCCCTGGCCCGCCTCCACGCGTCGCCGGGCGCTGCGCCCCGGCGCCCCCCTCCGCGCCGCCCCCGCGGAGACGGGGCGGGCGCTCGGGCCCAGAGCGCGACGCGCGGCGCGCGACTGCCTTCGCGTGCCCCGCGTGCGCCCGGGACCGTTCCCCCCGCGTTGCCGTCCCCGCCCGATCGAGTCGAGCGGGTGAGCGGGGGGTGACCCACACGGGGGGTTGAAGACAAGGGCCCCCAGAGGGGCCTTTGGCAGCAGAGATCTGTAGTGAGGACGGGCCGTGAGGACGCAAGGGCCTCGGGCGCCGAGGTTGGCACATTTTGGGCGGCGGACTGCTAACATCCTCCAGGGCTGGCCAGTAACAACCGCAAAGGACGGGCCGCAGAGGCAAGGACGCAAGGATACCCTAACAGGACAGCCGTGCGCCCTGAGCATGAGTTTGGACTGTAGGGCCCCTTTGGGAGCCAGCTGGTGCCCCAGAAGGAGCCCTGAAGGGCCTCTGGAGGGCCCGGTTCTTCACCCCCCCCTCTGGGTCACCCCCCAGTACCACCCGCCCGACTCGATCGGGTGGGGGCGGCAAAGCGGGGGGAAGGTCCCGGGCCCCTTTGGGAGCCAGCTGGTGCCCAGAAGGGGCCCGAAAGGGCCCCTGGAGGGCCCTGTTCTTCCCCCTTCATTTGGGGCCACCCCCCATCACCACCCGCCCGGTCCCCATGTAGGTCCCCCCCCATTTGGGTCCCCCCCCTGGGGTCACCCCCTCGCTCACCACCCGGCAGGGGGCGTGCGCAGGCCCAGGGATGCCTGCGGGCACCCTCCCGGGGAAGTGGCCAGCCCAGGGGCGGCAGAGAGGGAGCTCGAAAGGGAGAGGGGGCATCGTTGAACCGACCCCTATCTCCAAGTCGTGGCCTGGGCCCTACTGGCCGATCTATCCCCGTAGATGGGGACATGGGCTGTTTCCGTCGGGTCTCGAGGGGCATAGCCTCAACCGGAGTGCTGAGATGGTGCATGGGGGTCTGGATGGGACCAGGGGCACGGGTCGGTGACACGATACTGAGATGGCGCACCACTCTGGCTGCCGCTCGCTGCCTCGGGAAGGCCCGAGCCTGCCTGGCTGTCCCTGGACCCTCCGGCCCTCCAGGCGGCGCACCGGCCACGGCGATAGCCGGACTTCTCTATGATCTTGAGGTATCTGACGGTCACCCCGGACACGGTGAAGTACGGGATCTCGAACTTCACGGAGATCGGGGCCTTCATGTACGACTCCCTGTTCTCGGCCGAGATGGAGGGGAGGCCGAAATTGGCGGTCATGATGAAGTCCTTCTGCCCCTGGAACTGCTTGATGCTCCAGACGACGCAGTCCTGGTCGGGGATGTACCGCACGGTGCCGATCGAGGTCTTGAAGGAGGGGGAGTCCACGTCGGAGGGAACCGGGATGTGGATCTCGACGTTGTTGGCCACGCTACGTGACTTGAACTGTGACTTGGCCTTGATCATGTACTCGATCCGAGAGCGCGACTGGCCGGGGTCGACAACCGCCTCGACCCAGATCAAGGGCTTCACGTGCGTGTTCAGCCGGTAGCTCATCAGCTCGAACTCGCCGTCCGGCGGGATGAACGAGATCGTTCGGTCGTTCTCGAACCGGGCGAGCCTGACACACTGGTGGAACTTGATGTCCTCCATCTCGACCGACTTGCCCTTGGCCGCCGGGCGTCCGGTGGCCTCGAAGAGCAGCTTGTCGTTCAGCCCGAGCTTCAGCTCGGGCATGCCGGAGAGATACGACTTCATCTTGAGCGCCCCCAGGATCTCGGAGCGCAGCACGGAGCCGTTCGCGGACACCAGCAGGTTGAGCTTCTCCACCACGTCCAGGAAGATCTCGTTTTTCTTGTGCTTGATGCCCTCGGAGCGCCATGACACGGCGTTGGTGACCGCCGTCGGCGGCCGCATCTGCTCCACGGACATCGCGTGGGACTGTGTCTTGATGTACTCGCGCAGGATCTTTACTTCGGTTGTCTGAGGATAACCATTGTCCATCATCTCGTCAAGGAGCTCGTACGTAATGACGAAGTTGTCCTTGATGCTTTCCTCCTCCAACTCGTTGAAGTAGTCGCGCAGCACCTCTGCGAGCCGGTACAGGAAAGCTACAATGAGCGTCGCATTAGAGTTCCGCTGCGTCACCGCCAAGAGGTAAAGATTATTGTACTGGATCCACGCAAAACTAATCCCGTCCTCACAGAACACTGGCTTGACGTCAGCATCATCCGCGTCAATGACCTTGTCCTTGAACCGCTCGGTGATGTTCATGGGTACTTCACCACGGTAGTTGCGACTAATTATCACTTTGCCCTTCATGTCCATGATGAACACAGCGGAGGCCCCCGCCATCTTCGCACAGGGAGACCGTCCCCGGCGACTGCACTGGAGGATGCCTCCGGAGATTGGCCCTACGAGCCTCTTGAGCCAAAATGGCTCTTGAGGTCGGAGGGGCGGGAGCAGGATCAGGGGGAGCGCAATCACGGCTCACATACCTGCTGTCGAAGGCATCCTATCACCGCCTACACTTTTAGCCCGCAGGCGCAAAGTGGTCAAGGACGTTAAATTGCCGGTCAGCGAGCGGTGGTATGCACCAGAAGCGAATCGGGCACAGAAGCGAACAGGAGTAAGACACGAGGATGGAAAGGGAGGGAGCCCGCTCAGACCATGAAGGCCGGCGCGAGGTTGCCGAGGCATCCTTTCACCACCTACATGGCGGGTTCCAGAAACCCTGAACCAAAAAAATAATATCCTCTCTTGGGGGCGCATTGCTACTTGCACCGGCTTCCACTGGCCTTCCGCCGTCGTCCCCCGGCGGAGGCGGCCTCGTTTTAAATCCGAGGGCTTCCGTCACCCTTCCGCCAAGGCAGGGATGCCAACTCATTCGATCCTCGAAGGCGAGGCCCTTTCTAGAACGCCTCACACATTCTTCTTCCTCCTACTTCTCCTCCTCCTCCTCCTCTTCCTCCACATCCGTGTCCTCCTCGCACACGTCTTGCTCTTCCTGGTCGTCGTCCTCCATTGCATCCGCTTCCTCCTCCTGCTCCTCCTCCTCCCCTCCTCCCCCCTCCTCCTCCTCCGCCTCCTCCTCCTGCTCCTCCTCTCCTCCTCCTCCTCCTCTCCTCCTCCCTCCTCCTCCCTCCTCTCCTCCTCCTCCTCCCTCCTCCTCCTCCTCCTCCTCCTCCTCATCCCTCCTCCTCTCCTCTCCCTCCCCCTCCCCCTCCTCCTACTCCTCCCGCCCCCTCTTTCCTCCCCTCCCCGATACCGCTCTTCTAGTCGTCCGTGTAAAGAACTCCTCCTCGCCTGCCTCTTCCCTCCTCCCTGCTCCGTCTTCCTCGTCGTCCCCAGGAAGGCGCACTCCTCCGGGGAACACCCGAACAGTCCAGCACCCTCACGCCCCCAGTCTCGCGCAGGAGCCCCCTGGACAAGATGTACTCCTGCGCGCTGACAATGGCCTGGAGTGGTGGGGCTTCCCGCCTTCCCATCATCATCCTCATCACCATGTGCATCCTGCTACCCATTCGACTCATCCTAATCAACGTGATCACCATCATGTTTCTTGTACACTCCCGTCATCATACTCCTGATCAGCATCATCACCACCATCGCCATCACCATCACCAGCATCGTCACCATCATCATCATCGTCATCATCAGCATCATCATCATCATCATCATCATCATCATCATCATCATCATCACAATCATGGTCCTGATCATCATTATCGTCACTATGGTCATCATGACCGTATCATCATTATCAACATGATCATCACCATAAGCATCACGGTCAGCAACATCAGCATCGCATCAACATCAGCATCATCATCCGCATCAGCAGCAACACTATCTTCATCACCATCAACACCATCACCATCACCATCGTCATCAGCATCACCATCATCATCATCATCATCATCATCATCATCATCATCATCATCATCATCATCATTATTGCCATGAACATCATTATTATCAACATCCCCATCATCAGATTCATCATCATCACAATCACCATCACCATACTCACCATCACCATCACCATCACCATCACCATCACCACCATCAGCATCACCATCGTCATCACAATCATCATCATCGTCATCATCAGCATCATCATGATAAGAATTATCATCACCATCATCATCATCATCATCATCATCAACATCACCATACACATCGACAGCAGCATCGCCCTAATCAGCCTAAGCACGATCGTCACCAGCATCGTCATTACCGAGACCACTATCATTGTCATAATCAACCTCGTCGTGATCACACTCCTCCTGGTCATCAGCAGCGCCGTCAGCACCGCTACTTTCGTGATTAATATCATTAGCACCATCAGCATCGTCCTTCTCGGGGAATCGCCTGAGTCATCATCGCCACAGCATCAGTAACATCATCACTAGCATAATCGAGGTCATCATCATAAGCACCATCAACATACTCGTCGTCGTCGTGCTCATCATCATCATCACCATCAACATGCACCATGTTTCATAACCGTCATCATCGTCGACATCATGATCATCAGCATTACCATCAACAGCATCGTCATCATCACACTCATCATAATCGTTATCCTCGTCGGTAGCATCATCCTCAGAATCATCAACATAATCAACATCGTCATCCCTCCCACTTCGCATCACCCTCACCGCATCTCCATTCCAACCATGATCCGAATCCTACCAGCAGTCCGCGCATCCTCATCATGTCCCTCGTCATCCGTCTCATCGTTCTCATCTTCTCTCCTAGTATTTATCGAGATCCACGTAATCATTATCGTTCGTTTCATCATGCCATTCTCGTCATCCTCATCACCATGAACATTCTCATCATCACTAATCACCATTATCACCGCCATCAGCAGTAGCAACAACAACCACATCGTCACCTCCATCACCATCAACCCCATTACAAACATAATGAACGTCACAATCATCCATCGGTCATACATCCTCCCTGTTCCCTCCTCCCATCTCCTGCTCACTCGTCCTCATCCTCCATCGGTCCCTCCTCCCTCATCCCGCCCCACCCTCCCTCGCGATACCCCTCTGCTCATCATCATCGTCCTCAATCCTCCCGCCTCCATCCTACATCCTTCCGCCCCCCCTCCCAGCGTCAGCCCAGACCAGGCCCCTTGGCCCTGCGAGCCAGCGCCGCTTGCAGCCTCTGGCCGCTGCCCTCTCGCCTCCCTCTCGCCTCACCTCTTTGAAGGGGAACTGGGACACACAAATAAATACACACAAATAAAAAACATCCCCATATTTCCCCATATTTTCTGGGTTTGTGTCTTCCCCCCCACTTCCCATATTTTCCCATATTTTCTGGGAATCGCCGACTAATTGTGTCTGTGTGTTTTTTCCCCTCCTGACTCTCGGGCTCGCCTCCCTCGCTGGCCATGGCCTCTCCGCCACGGTCTGCCGCCGGGCGGCCAAGGCGCAGCGCTGCTGAGCGCCAGACGCGCTGCCAGCGCTCGCAGGCGCGCGCGCCATGCCGCAGCTGCTGCGCGGCGTCGACGCCCTGGTGACTCACAAGGGGTGGGGGGCCCGACGACCAGGCTGGGCGCCGCCCTGGCCGGTCTGCTGCAGCCCCTTGCTCCTGATAGTGTACTTGCTCGAGCGGCCTCTGCGGGCAAGGGCTCGTGCAGGGACCTCGGCGATGTAAACGGTGGTACTTTCCCCTGGGCCGTGTCGGCGGATCCGCGGGCTGTCGCTGCAGCTGTGCTTCGCGATGTGGGCACGTGTGCTGTACATGCTGCTGTTGTTCATTGGGGCCCCTTGCAAGGGCAATCGCAAGGACAAGGACTCTGCAAGGGCTTCGTGATAAGTCCTCGCGCATCTGCTCCTGTTCGGGTACGTGCGGCTACCGCTGTTTGCCCGCTCTGCACTGTGGAGAGACCTCATAATGAGCGTCGGCCTGAGACGGCGCATGCTGCCCAGCTCTCAGTCGCATCGCGAATGCGGGCCCAGCTGATCACAGCCACGTCGGCCAGGTCAAGTGGAGGTCAGCGCGGATTTCTTGGACCTTTACTGAAACCCCTCTCCCTGGCGCGCTCCGCGCGCCAGGGGCCGCACTGGAGTCGCCGCCAGGGGTCCTGGGCGCCGATCCCAGAAATCCACACGGAGCTCTCAGCATTTGTGCTTATGACGTGTGTTTCTTCTCGATTCGCAAATGCGGGCCCGGCTGATCACACCCACGCTGGCCAGGTTTAAGAGGAGGAGGAGGAGGAGGAGGAGGAGGAGGAGGAGGAGGAGGAGGAGGAGGAGGAGGAGGAGGAGGAGGAGGAGGAGGAGGAGGAGGAGGAGGAGGGGGAGGGGGAGGGGGAAAGAAAGGGAAAGGAGGAGGAGGAGTATGGAGAGGAGGAGGAGGAGGAGAAGGAGGAGGAGGAGGAAAAAGGGGAGGAGGAGGAGGAGGAGCAAGAGGAGGAGGAGGAGGAGAGGAGGAGGTAAAGGAGGATGGAGGAGGAGGAGGAGGAGGAGGAGGAGGAGGAGGAGGAGGAGGAGGAGGAGGAGGAGGAGGATGACGACGAGGTAAAGGAGAAGGAGGAGGGACGAGGAGGAGGAGGAGCAGGAGGAGGATAATATGACACGAGGAGAAGAGGAAGGAGAAGGAGGAGGTAAAGGAGAAGGAGGAAGAGGAGGAGGAACAGGAGATGGATGAGGAAAAGGAGTAGGAGCAGAAGGAGAAACAAGAGGAGAAGGAGGAAGAGGAGGAGGAGGAGGAGGAGGGAGGAGGAGGAGGAGGAGGAGGAGGGGGTGGAGCTAGGCCTGCAGGCGCAACAAGTTCTCTCCGATGCGTCTCAGAGCTTACTGCTGAGCCCAAGCCCAAAATCACACATGGGAGGAGGAGAAGTAGGAGGAGGAGAAGGAGGAGGAGAAGGAGGAGGAGGACGAGGTAAAGGGGAAGGATGAGGAGGAGGAGGAAAGGACACAGGAGGAAGAGGAGGAGGAGGAGGAGGATAGGACAAGAGGAGAAGAGGAAGGAGGAGGAGGAGAAGGTAAAGGAAAAGGAGGATTTTTTTGAGCACTTTGGCCCCCGCTGCATGCTTAAAGCACACTGTAAGTGTCAGGGAGTAAGGTGACCCCTTTCGCTTTGGGATGGAGTCCCTTACAAATCTTGTTCCAAGCGTCAGAGTTGTAAGCCGAAACTTTCTGACCTGGACAAGTCTTGTTGAGAGCTGCTAGGCGGGCTCCACCAGTGTATCTCTGGCACACAGTACAAACGACAACAAACGAACCGTTCGAACAATCCAGGAGGATACACTTGTGGCTTAAATCTCTAAGCCGCCGAACATCCACTTCCAACGAATCAGAACAGTGGCCAGGGGCAGGCTCTTTGTCGGC